CCTCAACCTTTTCTTCTACCAGCCTTGGACTCTTGGGAGAATTCCAATTTCTTGGGCTCTGTTGTTTCAATAAACAGCCAAAGAGAAGGACCCACATGTCTCTTGAGAACATCTTCTTTCTTGCAGGTAACCTGTACTACCTCATTGAGGTGATTGCATGTTTTCTGTTACCCTGTTACTTCTATGTTGTGTTTGCTTTTCCTGTGTCAGAAACATTGTGACAGATGTATAAGCTGGAAATGCATGAAACTAACAATATATAGGATATATTTAACAATATATATAACAATATATCCTATATATAACAATATATAGGGTAATTTTGAAAATTCCTGGTAGTAACTCCGCCGATGCGATAAGGCAAGTCAAACTGAATTAAAAGTCCCAATTTAATGAGCAAAGCATCCCCGGGTGGTCTCAGGGGAAGAGGAGAAACCATGTGGAAGGTCTATGGACTGGACCTTAAATACCCTGTAGGCACAGTCTTGAGGAGCCCCAGGGGAGGAGCTGTTGCTTGTCGGGTTTCTGAGGTGAGGTTTGGAGAAGGAGGAGTGGGGCCTAAGCAGGGTTCCCAGTCAGACATCTGGGTGGTGTTTGGAATGTGGCCCCAAGCTGGAGATTCCCAACAATAATATCTCCTAATCCTTCAGGAAAACAATTCTGAGAGACATTCTACACAGGTCCGCAGAGTCCCCGGTTGGCTACGGCAGTAACTTACTTGACTATGCGCCCATGGACTGGCTCTTTCCATAGGTCCCCACTCCTCTTCCTTGGAATCCCTTCACCAATAAACTGACTATAGCTGTGATGGGTAATCTTGATTGACAATTTGGTGAGATCTAGAATCACCGCAGAAACAAATCTCTGGGCATGTCTGTAAGGCATTATCTGTGTTGGATTAGTTGGGGTGGGAAGTGTAGTAACCCTAAATGTTGGCAGTACCGTACAATGGCTTGGAGCCCTGTATTGAATAAGAAGAAAGTGTCCTAAGCACACTGTGCTTCCTGACTGTGGATGTAACGTACCCGGCTGCCTCCTGCCCGGCCGTTGGCCTTCCCTACCGTGGTGGACTGTGAACCATAAGCCAAGCCAAACCTTTCGCTCGGTTGCTTCTTGCCAGGTATTTCGTAAGAGCAATGAGAAAAATATCTAGTGAAATATTCAGATCCTTTCGAAGATTTCCTTTAGGGAAATCACAGCTAAGCTCGCAAAAGTGAGTAACAAGTGAGCAGGAAGACTCTGCTGTGTGTTCAAGCTCTTGTTTGCCTTGGTAGTTCCTGCAATAGAGAATGGAAGTGGAGGGAATGAAGTAACAGTGGGATATGAGAGTGGGTAGCTGATAGGTTTGTTTTCCTACATGCTGAATTGAAGAGACTTATGGGTGGATGTTCAACAGACAGTTGAAGAAATGAACCTGAAACTAGAGGGTTCAGGCTCAGGGAAAATTAGTTACCAATGCACAGCTTCTTAAACTGTGGACTGCTATCCCATTGAGGTCTCTTATCTTAACTGAATGCGCAAAACTTGGCATCAGTAAAAGGTTTCCAAATGTCCAATGACCAAAGGTTAATTCAAAGGCAAATGTGTAAGTAATGTGTTTCTGGCAGTGCTTGCCTGTATTGCATCATACACACACACACACACACACACACACACACACACACACACACATATATATATAATCTTCACTGTAGCCTTGGCTCTGAGCATAGAACACAGGCACTTTGCATGGCACATGCTGTCACATTATATAATAGCAATAAATGCTGCCTAAAACACACTGACTCCAATTTAAAACTTAGATTTTGTAAACTGAAGTATTTTTTATTGTACACAAAAATTTGTCTGCTCTTACAGAAACACAATGGTTTATTTGTAGAAAGTAAAGACAATATTTTCTTATTGTTATTCTTCAGCATGTATCAAACAGAATATCTTTGAAATGTCTTGTACAAGAATACTTGATTTTAAAAGTTGCCCTTTGACAGTTAGGTTGTTGTTGTTTTTTAAGAGGCCATGGCTTTGAAGGAGAGCAGGGAGGGGTGTATAGGAGAGTTTGGAAGAGGGAAAGGGAAGGGAGAAATGTCTTCATCAAATTAGAATCTCCAAATTTTTTAAAACGGGGGGAAAAAGAGTAACAGAAAAAAAAAAGTTGCTGTTTGAGTTTCTGACTTGAATTTCACTAAAAAAAAGTTCCGTGAATGTTGACTTGAGATCAGCTTGGAGTTTCCAATAATTTCTGAGACAGTCCTAGAACACTTTCTGCCATTTTGTACTGTGTAGTTAGGCAAAGCAGCCTTCTCAGGATTGATGATTATAACATCAAAATACCGCCTTTTCGCCACGATGGCACCAAAAGCGAAGAAGGAAGCTCCTGCCCCTCCCAAAGCTGAAGCCAAAGCGAAGGCCTTGAAAGCCAAGAAGGCGGTGCTGAAAGGCATCCACAGCCACAAAAAGAAGAAGATCTGCACATCACCCCCATTCTGGCGGCCCAAGACCCTGCGACTCCGGAGGCAGCCTAAATATCCTCGAAAGAGCGTGCCCAGGAGAAACAAGCCTGACCACCATGCCATCATCAAATTCCCCGACCACTGAGTCAGCCAGGAAGAAGACAGAAGACAACACCACACTTGTGCTCATTGTGGATGTCAAGGCCAGCAAGCACCAGATCAAACAGGCTGGGAAGACACTCTATGACATTGATGTGGCCAAAGTCAACACCCTCATAAGGCCTGATGGAGAAAAGAAGGCGTATGTTTGGTTGGCTCCTGACTATGATGCTCTGGATGTTGCCAACAAAATTGGGATCATCTAAACTGAGTCCAGCTGGCTAATTCTAAATACACTTTTTCACCATAAAAAAAAAAAAAAAAATCAAAATACCAATCAATTCTGAAAAATTCTGGAGATGCTTTGTGTATCTGGCAATATCAAATATTCGGCAAAGATTTAATTCTCTATGTAAAAATAAATAAGCATATCCTTCTCATTAATGTACATATTTGCTTTTATCATTAACAAATGTTCAAACTGTATGCATACCAAAGAATTATTTTAAAATAAATTTCAAGTTGGGGGTGGGCAAGTGGGGCTGGTGGTGGAGCATGCCCTTAATCCCAGCACTCAGGAGGCAGAGGCAGGCAGATCTCTCTGAGTCCGAGGCCAGCCTGGTCTACAGAGTGAGTTCTAGGACAGCCAGAGCTGTTACACAAAGAAACCCTTTGGAAAAAAAATTTTTTTCTCTAATCCTTTTGGGCTTACAAATTCCCATGAGAACATCCCCTTAAGCTCTGTTTAGAACATTCTAAATTCTTCCACATTCCTTCTGTGAATGAGTTCCAAAGGTCTAAGGACCAGTTGGTCATTGGTCTCAGAAGTAACCCTCCTCTTGGTGTCGTCAGTTTTCTGTATTAGCTACTTTTCTCATCACTGAGAAACAATGGCTGATAGAAAGCAGTTTAAGGAACGAGAGGGTTCTAATGACTTATCACTTGAGAGACTGTTTCCCATCACGCTTGGAAAGGTCTGGTGACAGAAGCGCAGGCTGGCTGGTCACACTGCAGCTGCCATCAGAGGCAGAGAGGAAAGAGGCAGGCCTAAAGCCTTAAGGTCTGCTCCTAATAACCCAACTCTGAAAGGTTCTGCCACCTTCCCAGACAGCGCCATCATCCGGGGACCAGGAATACATGCATATATATTTATGAGATATTCAAATACCTTTCCTTCTGTTTCCTTCTCTTTTCTTTCCTGGATTCCTATTAGATGTATAGGTCACCAAGACTACATTCATTAACTGTATTTTTTTTTCTTTTGTTGTATAACTTGGAAGGAGTCTTAGTCTATTTGGGCTGCTGTACTATTAAAAAAGCCTGAGACTATAACTTATAAACAACAGAATTTTATTTTTCATAATTCTGTAGGCTGGAAGCCCAAGATGTAATTACAAGCTGATTTGGTATCTGCTGAGAGCTTTTTTTTCACGGGTGGCACTTTCTGTGTGTCTTCACGACATGGAAGGAGACAGGATTCCCTCAGTCCTTCTCAGACAGGCACATGTGACAGACCCACATGACCAAACTATCTCACATAAAACATATGATTTAATACGCTCATTCTGGGGGGTTAGATTTCAACACATGAATGGGACTATTGATTTTTCTGCATGCAATCCCTAGCCTGACTGGGGAATATTTGATCTCAGATAACGTAGTTTTCACTTACAAAACTTCCACTTGGCCGTTGCTTTATGCTTTCTATTGTGAGCTGAAATTTGTCCCTGGCTTACTGTATTATGTGAAGTCCTCAAACGATTTTAGAGTAGCTGTGGGTGAGCGTCCTGTCACTATGACAAAACACCCGAGGTAACAACTGTAAGGAGAGAAGACTGGTGTTGGCTCACAGTTTTGGAGATTTCTTTCCATGAAGCCGCCTTGCTTTTGGCCTTGAATCAAGATGGAGAATTATAGTAGGAGCACATGGCAGAACTGTCCTGTTCATCTTATGTGTCTGGAAGCAGACAGAAGATAAGGTGTGGATCTCAATACCTTCTCAAAGGCGTGCTTCCGGCAACTTAACTTTCTCCCTCTAGACCTCACCTCTCAAAGACTGAACAACCTCCCACCAGCAACAGGCAAGTGACCAAGCCTGTAGAATTGTCTTTGTGGATAGTGAAACTCTAGACCTCAGCAGGCTTATTTTGTCTCTGTTTGTCAATTTGAGCATCTGGGTCACTTGGGTAAGAAGGTTTTCTTAAAACACAGCTATACTCATTCATCTATCTGGCTGCTTTCTTGTTGCTCAATGAGAGAACTTCATGGTTGTGAAAGAGATCATATGACTGGTGAACTTCAAATATTTACTATCTAGAAAAACTTGGTCAACCTTACCTATAAAGACTGCCCTACAACGGAGGGCATTCCTTCTATCACTTGGCCTCTTGCCAAATAGATTATTATAGATAAAAGGAAGTCAGTTTCTATTTATCAAGGCAATGGGAAAACAGCTCAAAAGGCATTCACAAATCTCTGAGGCCAGTGAGGACCTTGGCAGCATGGTTTTCAGGGAGTGTTCTGCGAGACCTCAGCCATGCACTCTTTAGGGAGTTTGCCGCCATCACTCAGGTGGGCTTAGATGCGTCTTTGCCATAGGACTCCAGTGGTCAGCTCTGGCAGTGTCCATGTGGTATTGACTATGTGTGGATACAGAGTGGTAGAACTATGGGGGCATGGCTTTCTCTTCTTAAATCTTAGTCTATTCTAGACAGTGTCAGGGCCTAGAGAGACTTGTTGCAGAGGCAGGGCTCTGCAGCTCCTACTAAAGCAGTGCATAATGGAGCCAGGAGAGTGTGGCTACTTCCAACTGTGGAGTGACCAGCACACATTGCCATCTGGGGAGAGCTGCAGGCATGAGACTCCAACCTGTGGAAGCTGCTGAATGGTCTGAGCTAAGTAAAGCCACGAGTGTGGGGCTACCTGAGGTTCTGGGGACTCTACAGTGTGTCCAAGAGGCAGAATACTGAGGTAAAGGAAATTGTTCTCTAGCATGAATACTTACTGTTGTTTGGGCACTTTGAATCAGATATTCCTTTCTCCTTTCATTGTTCTCCCTTTGGGGATGAGGCTATTCCTGTGCCTGTCCCAGCACTGTATTTCAGAAGCATGTAACTTTTTAGCTCACAGGCTCCTAGCCCGAGAGGAATTTGCCTTAGCATAAATCATGCCTGGAATCTCACGCAGAATCTATTCCAATGAAACTCTGGACTCTGGACTTTTGAGCTAGTGCTGAACTGAGTTAAGGTTTTGAGGCTATGGAGGCGGAGTGAATATATTTGCATGTAGGAAGGACACTCCTTTGGGGGACAAAATTAAAATGCCATGGTTTGAAGTGGTCTCTTTCAGTTTATGTGTTGGGAACTTGATCTCCAAGACAATAGCGGTGAGAGGGGTGATTCTGAAGAGGTGATGAGGTCAGAGGGTTCTGCCCCACTTAAACAGATTAGAGTGGGAGGAGGTGACTTGTCTGGGCAATGGGCTCCAGACAGAAGGCGAGTTCGGGGGTCTCTTTCTCTCCCTCCTTCCCTCCCTTCCTCTCATGCTTTCTTGTCCTTCTCCTTTCTGCTATGGGATGATTAAGTAAGAAGGCTTTCCTTATCAGCTGGATGCAAGGATACTTACTCCACCTTAGGATTTCCCAGTCACCAGAACAGTAAAAACATTTCTACTTTTAAATCCACCCATCCATCCATCCATCCATCCATCCATCCATCCATCCATCCATCTGTCCTTCCATGTGTCCGTCATACAGTCCTTGGTATTCTGCTAGAGTAGCACAGAATAAACGAAGATCCCTAGTAAGCCAGGTATACCAACAGGTGCTTTTTATTAGTATTACTAAATTGCTCAATCAGAAAAGGGTTTACATTTTTGCTAATGTATCAGGCCTTCCTCGTGGGATTAAATACAAAGAGTAGTTGATAAAAACACGGTGCCATGGAATCAGAACGGTGTGGGGCTTTTGATTAGAACAGGATTTTTCAGAAACAGGAATAATTAGGCTATGTGTTGTTCTTTTAATGACTATGTGTAGATATTTTGAAGACCCTCCCACAGATACTATCATGATGTGCTTGCTGCCTGGGACCTTCAGAGAGACGTGGTATGGGGAGACAGCAGGGAATAGCCGTGTCTAGCTGTGATTTAGGGATTTCCACTTTATATACGTCCTTTGGTCTTCAGATAGCTCACTTGCTTCTCCTTAGGCCTGCCCCAGTTTGAAATGTGCGTTAGCACTCCGCAGTCTACTCTCCATGGGGGGATTCTGCTTCAGACTACTTTGATCAGCATTCGGTCCAGTGTCTGAATGGCAGGCAGCCTAAGAGCCGAGGTCCAGGTGTTTTTGTTGTTGCTGTTTGGTTTATGAGACAAAGTCTTGCTGTGTAACGCAGGCTGGCCTGAAGTCCGTTATACTGACTCTCCTATCAAGTTCTGCAGTTACAGTTGCTCATGCCATGCCTGGCTCAGCTAGTTTTGACGTGACACTTATTCCTGTGGTTTGGGTTGATCTGCGCTGTTGGACCCATTCTGGTAATCAGCATAAGAGAGGAGGCGAGAGGTGGGGCATCTGAGCCCTAGTGGATAGGTCCTTTTAAAAAATTGTCTTATTTTTTGAGATTATAATATAGTTGCGCCATCTCTTCCCTACTAACCCTCCCATATACCTCCTCTTGCTCTCTTTCAAATTCACAGCCCCCCTCTCTTTTTTAAAAATGAATTGTTGTTATAGACATAGATGTATAAAGATATATATATATATATATATATATTCCTACATGCATACAACCTGCCCAGTTGGTATATGTTACTTGTATGTGTGTGTTTTTAGGCTGACCATTTGGTATTGGATAACCAACCCTGAGGAAGACTCTTTCTCCTAATGGGTGGACCTTAATGACAAGTTTACTCCGGAAAGAGGAATGGGGTATAATCAAGGACATTTGTATAAAAATCAAGTTTATCAGACTGATCAAAGATGGCTGAGGTTCAAGGCACATTGTCCTTTGTTTAGGGTCAGGCCTGGGTTGTGGCACACTACAAAGCAGGTAAAGCTTGGAGATTAACTACAGACTCCGCCACTTAGGGCTTTGCCTTCGTGTGGCTGTTGCTGTCCATCTCACTTGGATGGCAGTAGCTGAGTGTGGTTTGCTTGGTAGAGCCTGACAAGACTGGGCTATAATTGATAAGAAAACAGGTTCCGAACATGTGTTTGTGTTGATCAACTGCTGTGGGACACACTTCTCTAACGGAATTTCCCCGAGGGCCTGCCCTGAGAAGATTCCTCCCGGAGTCCTGGGGAAGACATACTATGTCCGGCAGGGTGTTATCTGAGAGAAAAGAATCTACACACAGCACACTCTTTCATCCATTTACTTTTAGTTCTCTATAACGAACTTCCATCTACACAGCTTCAGCTCCGTCCTCACATTCAGCTCCTCTCTGTACCTACTTTTCCTGTCTTCTCATAGTCCTAATTAAGCTCCTGTGCTTTTGACCTCATCTTCGTCCTCTGTTCCTTTGTCTTCCATCTTTCCTTCCTAGCTCCTTACCCCGGCTCTGAGAAACTGCCTTCTTCTCTTCTCTCTGGCCATGCGGCTCTGCCTACTATCCGGAGAAACTTGCCTTGTTCTCTTCTCTGCCACACAACTCTGCTCTGGCCAGGAAAGCTGCCCCAGTCTTGACTGCACCTGGTTATGCAAAAAATCCCCATTGTCCTGAGTCCATAGCTCATCGGGGCTACTAGGCCTGAAGGCAAGGGATGGTCTGAGCTTCGTTTGCACAAGAAACAAAGTTCTATGTATCTACTGGCGCCTGTCTCCAAGGCCCTGGAGAGGTGTTAGTTACCCAGTGGATCAGCTAAACTGTTCACCAATGGTCTAGTAATATATGGGCCCACAAGAACTTCATAGGAGAAAACAGCCGGAATAGTAAAAACTGAATAACACCAAATATTCCTTGATAAATGGCTTCCTCTAGAAAAAAATGCCTTGACATTTCTAGGTATAGCTTTAATATACAGCTGAATCTCTATAATATATTCTTGCAGCCTACAAGACTTCTCAACATTTTATAACTGTGCCCCACTTCCCATAACTCTGTTAAATTAAGCATTGTTATTTTATAATGCATAGAACTAAAGGCCAACTAGTTAAATGACTAACTCAGGTTGGTCAGTGACAGTAGGGGCTTGGAATCCAAAGTTCAGAAACCGCTTAATTTGGTGTCTGAAGTTCCTCCCATAAGGAGTCAATAAAAACCACCAGCCGGGCGGTGGTGGCGCACGCCTTTAATCCCAGCACTCGGGAGGCAGAGCCAGGTGGATCTCTGTGAGTTCGAGGCCAGCCTGGGCTACCAAGTGAGTTCCAGGAAAGGCGCAAAGCTACACAGAGAAACCCTGTCTCGAAAAACCAAAAAAAAAAAAAAAAAAAAAAAAACCACCACCAAAAAAGGGCATTCACCATGTATCTTAAAATGTAGACGCCTACCCATGTGCAGATATGCATCTATAGAGAAACTCTAGTTACAACATAAATTTCATTCACTTCAATTTGAAGAATTTCCAGACCATACAGTTCAAAATAACTGAAGTTTCTGTGTCTGTATGTTGCATGCTCCTGCACATACCCATGAACACTTGCTAGGGATTGATCGGGGCCTTTGCCATGCCAGAAAAGCATTCTGCCACAGAGCTACATTCTTAGTTAGCCATGAGGAAGTCCAGCTGAAGCATATTTCTTAGCTGATTTCAGATTCCATAGCAGAGGAGTGCCCAGGGCAGCTTTCACACACATTAACTAGTTCATAGACCGGCTAGCAACTTTATTGCACACCACATTGATCCCTCTCATGGGTGCTCACAAGAAACTTTCTGGGTGATTTCCTTTAGAGACAGGATCCCACTGAGTCATAGTTTAATATATCACCGATTTCCAGAATCTTGCAGCCTTATGAGAATTCTTGTTAGTTTTTCTAGAGTACGTAGGATTAAAAAGGTTAAAATATTTCTGGGCTAGGTGTGGTCATGCATGTCTGTCTATCATCTCAGCAAATGGGAAGTGAAGGCAGGGATTGAAAATATGAAGCCAGCCTGGGCTATATAGTAGAACACTGTCTCAAAGAGCAGGAATAAATAAATAATTTTAAATTGCATAGTTGTTGGTGCCAGTGTTAAATAAGCATCTGGACATAAGTTCTCTTGCATAGAAACCCATTTCTTGATTAACAAAATAAGTTCTTGACTTTTTCAGTCTTCAATTCAGGTCCGAGGATGAAGATCTTACTTTCTTCATGGAGGGGACTGGAGAAAATAAAATGAGGGGGAAAAAAGAGGGTTAATGTCTTTTGTTCTATCAAGTCAGTGAGAAGAGAAATTAATTTGATTAAAATAAATATCTAAATACAAAGGTACTTAAGTCAATAAGTCAATAAACTTGACTGTGCCACAAAAATATTGATTGATGTGCTCATTCCATTCACTTTGACCTAGACCTTTAAAGCAAGTTAATGATTCTCAGTCTCAGTTGCATTTTATTCTGTTTTTGTTTTGTTTTGTTTTGTTTTTGTGTGTGTGTTGCTGTTGTTTGTTTTTTGTTTTTTTGGTTTTTTTTGTGTATCTGTATGTGCATATGATTGTGGATGTATGTGTGTGAAGTGTATATGTGCATGTTTATACCAGAGGGGGGTTTAAGGTACCCCCCTTGCCCCCATCACTCTTCACCTTATTCCTCTGAGGCAGGGTCTCTCACTGAAACTGGGACTTGTGGTTTTCAGCTGGCAAGCCCCAGCAATCCTATCTCTTGTCTTTCTTGGGTTGTAGCTGTGCATCGGACCATACCCTTGCTGGTTACATGAGTCTTGGGATCCAAACTCCAGTATCATGCTGGAGCAGCACTTCATCTGCTGATCCATCTCTCCAGCCTGTAATTTGTTTTTTAACTGACATGCGATAAATACTCCAAACTCTTCCT